GTGGTTAAGGTGCTGCGATATGGTTTTCCCAAAGCTCGTGTGGTTGTCCTCTTCACCAGAATGGACCACACCAAACTGCTGCTGAATGCGGTACGACGGGCCAATCTGACGGACCACTTTGTCTGGATTGCCAGTGATGGCTGGGGAAGGGAGAATGTGCCCGTGGAAAATAACTCCCGAGTGGCGAATGGTGCGTTAACAATTGAAATTCTTGCAGAGGAGATTGGACAGTTCTCAGTTTACTACAAGAACCTGCGCAGTGACAACACTCGGAATCCCTGGTTTTCAAAGTACTGGGAATCGCTTTTTGGTTGCACTTTCGACAATACCTCGAATGGGAGTGAGGGTAAATCAAAAAACCAGGTGCCCTCTTGTTACGCGAACCCAAAGCATAGGCTGGGAGACAAACTTCCAGTGCCCTTTAAGCAAGAAGCCAAAATTCAATTTGTCTATGACGCTGTTTACGCCTTCGCGTGGGGTTTACATAAATTGGAACAAACGCTCTGTCCTTTTAATCCGGATCCAGCGAAATGGGACAAGGATGAATGCATTAGGAAATTACTCAGTCACCAGGGGAAGGATTTCTACGACTTAATAATTCAGACTTCTTTTAAAGGTGAGCCATAATTTGTTCTAAAATTTATTTTCAAGTAATTAAAAAAACCAGGAAAACCTTTATTCAGATAAAAGACGAGGAAATACCTATCTTGTAGATTTCCATTGGTTTTATGGCCCATAAAGTGGTCAAGCGTGTTGAGCTCCAGTTCAAAGTTGTCATTACTAAACGCTCTGGCAGTATCGTTAGAGTGGATGCTTACATTTTGAAAACCCAGGTGGTCATTGTAAGAACTTATTGCAGTTTGTTGAAGTAGCGTCAAAAAAGCAGAACCAACCTTCAAAAGTTATGTTTAGTGAACCTTTGAAATATCCTATTATGTGGGAGCAACAATATCACAATCCCATACTGAGACAGAAAACGCTTGCGTGATTAAGCTCAAACATATAGCTTGTAAGCCTAGGTTACTGGTTATTTTCATTCAAAAGGTTAAACAAGTAGTAGCAACCGTAGTAAGCTAGCAAGTTCTTATGTGAATAGCGGGGCCATAGTTTTCAAAAATGAGATTTCAGGAAGTAGAAATATATCATTTTCACCCACGGTATGGGGTTAAATTTAACACAAACTCCAATCATGAATTGGAAAATCGGCATCCCAAGAAGTATAATA